CATTTTATGAAGTGGAACGGGAAGAAAAATCATCTTTGGCAAAGGTGCTCACAATAATGGTCTGTCTTTGTAATTTTGGGGGCAGAACACGGGAATATTTTACTTCATGACAATTTAATGGCAGTGATCCCCTCTGCAAGTGTGCAAAGAGGAGAAAAAATATTTCACTAAAAATCTGATTTAATTTCTACCTTATTTTCCTAGAAAACTGCTGTAAACTCACACAACTTTGTTCAAATGTGCACAAGTACATGCTTTTGGCCCAACAATTTATACTTTAAAGAATACATTTCCTCATACATTTTTCAGGCCCCACCTACGGTTATTTGGCTGAGTACAGAACAGTATGTTTAATAAGCATCATTGAGGTTCTCCTTGAACAAACCAGAATCATTTCACATCCACAATTCATTTCCTTTCATTCACTAATTTGTCTTTTTAATATAATAGTTCATGAAAAGATAAGTGCATGAAAATGTAGAAGACCTTGAGTCCATCCAGTGGTTGCATCAGACATCCATTTACTTCTACTTTTGAGGATGATTTTAGTAACCCTCTAGCCTTTTTTCATGAATAAATATAGAATTCAGCAAGGAAGTATGGATCTCTCAATTTAAAGACAAAAATCAGCAAGGTCCTTCTCTGGCAGAATGAAATTTTTTTTTCATTTTCCCTGTAAAAATTTATCTTAAACTTCAGCAAGACTGTTGCACTGAACCAGACTGGCTTAGAGGTGGATAACCATTTCAAAAGAATGTAAGAGAAAAACTGAAGCCTAGAGACTTCAATATCTAGGATTTAATGAAAGTCAAATGGCATGTCATTTTAGCACCCTATTACAGCCAGCAGAGAGTTTCACTCCCTGGGCTGTATTGCAGTAATTTCAGAAGCATTCTCAGGCAATTTGTGAGGGTAACACCTAAGGATACGGGCTTCAAATGTGCTGTAACACTAATTTCATTATCACAACAAACAGTACACAGAATCCTCTCTCTACAGCCTGAGATTTCAGGCTGTTCAAAGACAGTAAATATCCCATGTCATAATCAAAGTCACCATCTGAGTGTAGCACATGAGCGCTAAAATCCTTGATGGCCACATTTCTTATGATTTGATGCTAGGAAGCCATCAGCATCTGACAATTGAAAGGATTATGTAGTTGTCAGGGTGGTTAAACATGGACTATCAGGCAAATAATAGATTCTTCTTCAGGTATCTGGCATTTAGCATTATGGCAATTTTTTGCCATAGCCACAAATTCCACTAGGACCCTGTTGCTCTTATCCCACACAGTACTTAATGATGAATCTATCTTGTCACACAGTGAAAGGAGGGGAAGAATGTAATCAGCAGCATGCTAATTACTAGAAACCTTCATTCACTTATCACACTATAAAAATAATTATTAAACAATAACACAAGGTACTTTTAGTTTCATAAACTTAGAGTCTTTGGGCCCAAGTCACCAGAAAGCTTTTAAAACAACGGAGAAGCAGAAAACTATGTCTGTATCGGAGCAGAGGTCACCTGCACCTTACATGTGGTTGCAACTTCAGGGTTGCAACTGCTGTAACAACTCCATTTGAAAGCTGGCACCCTGCTTTATGTGAAAGTTGGAGTACACTTCCCCAAACCAGAAACAAGCTTCAAGAAGGCATCAGGAGATTGTAAACAAAAACAAGGCTTCTCTCCCCTGCTACAGAACAGCAGTAAAAGGGACATGGCAAGGATCTTATTTGATGCGTCCACTTTATCCTCACATACAAACATGGGTGCACAGACTAATTAATAACACATAATTTTAAGGGTTTATTCAGAAAGAGAGAATGAAGCATTTGGACAAAATATAACAGCTTTAAATTATGCCTCAGATGCCTGCCGCATCAGCAGAGATTCTTGCAGTCTAATTGTCTCTTGAAGAAGCACAGTAACAGATGCAGAAGGAAACACTTGCAAACACAAGAGAGAGAAAAAATAACTCTTCAGTACTGAAAGAAGTTTTTAAGAGACCCAAGAACAGGGAAGGAAAAAAAAATCAATAAAATTTCCACAGGAACTCATAAGAGGAGCTCATCAGTAAATGTTCCTACCACACAGTTCAAGGGCCACTTGAAGCCTGCTTTTTTTTCTGCATGAAGCCTCTAAAACATATTTCAGTGGTGTCCACTCTACTAAAAATAATATATATGAACATTTTCATTCTGCATTAAGTGACCTTCTGTGAAGAAAACCTCAGCAACCATATTCTATATCATATGTTTAGAATTAACCAGAGACATTTAATCAAGATTTTGCCTACCTTCCACAATATTTACTGAAAGTCCATATGTAATATCAGTTATTACTCATATCACTTAAATGGTAGATAAAAGTCACAAGTTGGTCACTTTTAAAATTTATTGAAAAACCTCAGGTAATTTAGTGTAGAATAAAAACAGGGATTACATTTAGGGGAAAGAAAGATGACGTGTTTTCCACTACATCTAAAGGCTGCATCATCATAAGCAAATTGTGGAGACAGATAAAAGTGAAATAAGACACAAATGAATATTCAAGCATATGATAGAATTAAAGCCTTAAAAAAAGGCAAATCCTTCATCATGAACATGAGGTGATTATTTAAATTGAAAGATCCAATCACAAGAACTAGGAATTATTGGAGAACACTGTGAACCTTGAGTGAATTACAGAGCTACATTATTTTAGTATGTTGAAGAAAAGTTCTGTTATATCTATTAAAAGAGAAAATCTTCATAGTTCTCCTCAGAAAAAAAAAATTAAAAATTAAAAACATTTACACATTATCACTTAAAAGTTAAGCCAGATGGCATAACAAGAATATTTACTTAACCTTTATCTTCATCTGAGAGAAATGTGATAACTCTAAAGGTCTAGATTTAGAAGAGTTTAGAGTTTATGTTTAGATTTAGAAGAATTTAGAAAGGTTTTTCTTCCCCACATGTTCATGTGGCCAATAGGCTATTAATGATGACTCCAGAAAAACTTTTAAAGTACATTAACTTTACCTTCCTTGAAGTCATCTGAAAGTATGACAAATTCATTACTTGTAACTGAGGGATCTCAAGATTTTTTTCCAGGACTTCATAAAATAAATATTTTAAAACTCTTGCCTATGAACCAGTGATGAACTTCATGCATTATTAGTAGTACTATAAAAGCAGATACAATTTATGCTGATCCTGATCTCCTTGTTTATAAACTGTGAGTTTAGTTTCTTAAAAGAAGAAAACAACAACAACAAAACAATAAACACTGAGAAAATAAACACCACAACACTGACTATTTTTGAACTGCCAGTTCCCTGTAGTGACTATAAAAATCTTACAGCATTGTAAAAGGAAAGGAAAGGATGAAATCCAGATGACTTTTCTCACTTGAGAACCACTATATGAAATAATGATTCCAGAACATCTATATTTGAAATGAAATTTGGACAGAATTGAAGTATTTCTTTTGGACTACTTTAATCTAAAAAGTGCTAGTTGAAAAATCTTTACAGTTTTTATGAGAGTAAAACAGTTACATATAGAGCAGTCAAAAACCTATTAGAACCTGCATCCTAGAGAAGAGATATGAAAAACATAATACTGGTAGAGAGGATCATTAATTAAATACACATAAGTGTAATTGGATGTAAATGTGCCAAATAAAAAATGCAATGTCATCAACATAAAGCATAATTACAAATCGTAGCTATGATCTGCCATGTGTACAAAGGTCAAAGCTAAATCTACATGGCATATTCATGTATGGATCCTCTGGTTTTAGTGTGCCTTTCTTGAACTTCTATCTTATCAGGATCATACCTGTGATATTAACTACATACATTATGAAAAGTTCTAGCCATATAAACCAGGATGTTCAGATCAATACATAAAATCTCATTTAAAAAATCATCCATTGTCTTAACTTCTAGAGGTAAAAGCAGATTTTTACATCTTCCTCTTGCTTGTATTCCAAAATTGAGATTGATAAAATCAGTCTCAGCTCTTTACCAATCCTTGTGTTGAGAAAAATGCAGATCCAATCTCAACTGCAGCAACAACTGATCATTTTTCCTTTAGTCTTTCCCTTTTTCTCCTAAGATTCTCAGACTTGGCCCACCTTTGCTGGACTTATAATGATTTGTTGAGGAAAGGACAAACTTGATAAGCTCCTCTTCTCTCTTGCACCAGAATTTCTGTGGCATAAGTAAGACTTAGGCGTACCAAAGAAAGGAAGAACCAGCCTGTAATCTAATTATCTCTTTACACACAAAAAACATGGGATCTAATCTCTTCTGCCCTGTGTACTTACAAGTTTGCTATGTTTTTCCTATAGATATGGGTTTCCATACAGCTACTGATTACTCTTCATTGATAAAAGCAATGTGAAATTTTTAGCAGGCTACAACAAGCCATCATTATTACAAATCTTCTAGGAAAGTGGCATTTATCACAGTTCTTATAAAATAAGTAAGCCTTTAATATTGTTGGGTTAAATTAATTCACATCTAAAATACATGTACAATACCGGAACAGAGAAATTAACTTTCCCTTCCAGGATTCACAGAACAAAAATTAGATATACAGAAGTTTATTTAACAAATATGGACTGGTTTGAGACTACCAGTGCTCTTCCTATTGAACTGCAAAATCCTGCAAAATCCTGCAAAATCTTGGATTAAATTTCATTCATCATGATCTGAAGTCTACCAAGAGAGACCAAAAAACCACTGAGTTTAAAATAGTAACAGAGGAATTGTAATTCTATTGAAATCAATGGTCCTCTTATTTTTCATACAAATTTGGACAAGATAACATGATATTCCGGAGCTTTTCATTTTTTATTTAAAAAAATAATTTTGATTTAATAGACTTCAACTCAGTAAAATCAGTAGCTCCCTCCTTTAGTTAGAAACCATATCAGCTGCCCAATGAAGTTAAAAGGCAGGAAGGCAGGCAGCAATGCTGAAGATTTGATGATGGCTATGTACATACCACCTTTCATCATTCCCACTTCGTAGCATTTTCTCAGCCTGCAGGCCTGGCAGCTCTTCCTTCTGTTCTTGTCAATGGTGCACTGGTTAGTAGCAGGACACATGTAGTCATTGTGCCCTGTAAAACCAGAGGGAAAGTAAGGACACAGTTATACAAAGATATAACAAAAATTATTATAATATCTTCGGAAAAAAGTAGGGTTACCATCATAACCTCTCATAAAAGTGTTGATACAGACTTTGAAACTAACATCTCTATGCCACACATTGGTTGGCAAATTCTTTAAATTAAAATTTCTGTACGCTAATTAAAATAGTGAACCACAAAAGAGGATCTATTAATATGAACAAGTGCCTTGATTTCCTTGCTCTCAGGCCGAGAAATACAACACCATCTGGTTTTGTGTGCCTGTGCTGATGTTTAACCAACAGACTGCACAAAATTAGGTTTACGAAATTAAAAAGGTCTACACACAAAAGATTTTATCTATGACAGCCAGTTCCAGTAAAGAAACAAACAACAACATAGAACAGAAGTAAAAATACTCAAATAATTAATTGTACCTCAGGGATAAATCAGTCACTAATTGCAGCTGCATATCTACTGCTTTGTGCAAAAACCTTCTGACATGACAAATTCTAAAATTACCAAATGCTGAAACCTAGTTTGTTACTGGTATCTTCTCCTTCTGAGCTCCTCTTCCTCATTTCTTACTCTCTTTAGCATTATTTGTTACTGCCAAAAAGCATCTATTCCAATATGCTCTTTTAAAAAGTGTGCTTAAATCTGCTATAAATTTATTTGCCAGCCATTGACAAAGGTTAGCAAGGACGAAAAAGCCTCTTCAAAACTGTCTCATTGGTGCTCTGCATTCATCTGAACATAACTAAGGTACAGCACACACATGCAAAAAGAAAAAAAAAAAGTTACTGCAGAACTGTTTGTTCTTTATTTGAGGTCAAGGGATCAGCTTGAGGTAAAGTAGGGTGGAGGTTTCACAGAGGCCTTGGTCTCATCAAATCTTCTATCCTTGACTACAAATTAGAAAATAGAGTAAAAATTGCTATCAGATTACACCAGGAGCATCTGCTCTCTAGTGCTGCATAAGTGGGATCTCATCAAAATAAGTAGCCAGCCTCTAAACTTGTTAATAGGGGAACAGCTGACTATGCCCTGCCTCAAAGAGACAGAGCTATTATTTTTTAGGTCTACTGGATAGAACAAAATAATACTGGAAAAGTTTGTATCCATATGCTTTACTGCAGCACTGCAGTAAACAGGTACAGCTACCAGCATGAGAGAACGCTTTAATTTTCAGTTCCTCTGGAAAGATACAGACTGTTCTATATCTGATTCAAAACCTTTCACATGTAAGGAAATTTTAAAAACTCAAGTCAGAAAGAAAACAGCCTAAACCACATATGCAGTATCTACAGAGAAAAGGAGCAGAAAAAAAAAGTCATATTTTTAAGAAAATGCACTTATATCGAATCACACTAAGCAGCAGTGAACAAGTGTAGCACCTGACTTCAATCACCTGCTTTGTTTCACTAGGCAACCTTGGAAATACCATGAGATAAAGATGAAAATTTTACTCTTTTTAAAAACAAAGAAGTACTTTGAAAGAATAGCTAATCTTCTTCTTGTTGAAGTAAAAGGTAAATTCACATGGTGTATGAGTGCAGGCTTTGAAATCAGCAAATAATTCAGAACACCATTTAGATCTCTCTAAAATGAGCACATAAATCCCACCTAGGTCAAAGCTGAAATCATGGTAACCACCTTTGCTGGATTGGCTGATTTTCATGGTGTTCAAAGGTTAAAAAAAAAGTGACAGAAGTAACTGCATGCAAAAAACAAAAATCAAGTGTAATCAATATCATCAGGGCAGCCATACTATTTTTGCTATGCTTATGTGGATGATAACCTTCTCCTGGGCTATGAATCTGTATTTACTTGTGCAAACCACAAGTGTTTGGAAATAAACTCTTGGATTGTAGAATACTACATAAAATAATCCTATTTGTAATAGAGCTACAGTTTCTATATTTACATAATAATATCTTTCCTTTTGAAGAGTTTTATCATTAATTTACCATATAAATGTTAGCATAATTAGCCTGTTTTCCTGTGCATGATCTGCACCTTAGACAATACACTGTTCACTCAAAGTGCTTGATTGACTTCACAGAATAAAGAATGCAAAATCTGGCTGCTAAAAACAGAAAGATCTGTGTATGATGGGCATACTTCTTTAGATTGCAAGTATCATTGTTTAGCCTTTCAGATTTCCTGTAAATATAGGAAAAAATATGATGCATTTAATATTTATCATAATTTTTAGTTTATTTTAATCAACATTACTTCTATAGATGGAAAAACATGTAAACAACCAGAAGAAAATGTTTGATAATTTGAGAATACTGTAAAAAACATTATCAATTTAATCAGGAAAGAAGAAAGAAACAAAGGGAAGAAGGAAGGCAGGGACCTTTTCTGCTTCTCCACAATACTATCTGATTTCAAGTATTTAGGCGCTGAAAGTGAAAAAAGTTTCTTTTGTAAGGCAGACAGACTAGGGCAGTCCAGCTTGGGGTAGCATGGAAGAGAAAAAGGAAGGAAAACACAATTAAGGAATAAATAATATGCAAAACCAAGTTTTACTTTAAAGTGAGATAGTATAGAACTAAATAACCTTGATGTAGGTGAATTGTCTTTTAACTACTCTACCTTTTATCTAATGCTTAAAGCTCATCTCTCTGCAAAGTTGATTCCAACCAATCTGACCCACTAGAAGGGATTTCTCACTGGTAGGAACTGTCACCATGAAAATGGTACACATCAACAGGTTCCCAGTTGCCCTGGCATTTGTTTTCACAGTATCCAAAGCATGGTACATGCTAGAAGAGAGAGTAATTAAGCTACTTGAGAGTTGGTATCACAGGAATACCAAGAGTAAGAAATGCCTTCTATGATCACTGATGCTTGTAGAGGGAAGCACACGTCACTTGGGCTCTGTGATCTTACTGAGGCTTTTAAAAAATGAATGATCAGATAACCTGCACAAAATTAAAGGCAGTGGATTTAATAGGATTGATCCCCTAGTTTTAATCCCCCATATGCATAACTGGCATTGTCATGAGCTACCATGGAACAATCTAAGAGACCTTCTGGAAGAGCTTAGGGAGGGATGGTCTATTTTTCTTATGAAAATTCATGAATTGCACATTTTAAGACAATAAAAATAAAATTAAGTATATAAAATGAAGTATATTATAGCACTTTAGGAAATGCTAAGGTGTCTCCAAAATGGGGACCAAAAATCAGACCCTTTTCTCATGGGACACTCTGCATGACAATGACCGACGGTGGAGGGAGAGAGGAAAAGGATGCTTAAACTGATGTTGCTGAATTGACTCATTATGCATCTTGAACAAAGCCAGTAATAATTATTATCTTCTAAGTGCTATCTGCTTTTCCTTTAATTATTCTTTTCTTTTCAATCCTCATGTCACGTATTTCTTAAACTATTTTTTACCTATTTGAATAAGGCAGTTACCAGCTTAGCCATTACCTCTGGAAGCACCATATCCTTCTGTGATCTGACAGTGAAATTAGCTAAATTTTCATACATGACAGCTGGGATGAAAGGAAGGAAGGGAAAGCTAAATTGTAGACTTTATCTACACCACGCCTTAAGGTGCCAAACAAGACTGGAGAAGGAAAGCAAAACCTTGGAAAAAATTACATAAAAAAGAAAAAAGCACTTGGTCATTACATAGTCTAACGCAGTAAAAACAAATGTTGAATGTAAAATAAAAAGTAACACCAATTTTAAGTTATAGTGCCCCAATAAAACTGCACTTATTGGTTTTAAAATCACACTTTTTCCTAACAGCTCCACAGAAGAACAGAAAGTTATGTCTAAATTCTTTATAAGCACAGATACTCAAATTCACAGCTTAATTACTCTCAGAAAAGGTCTTTGGATTTGGAATTTGGGTTCTCTTAGCAACTACTCAGCACTGCTGAGAAGACTAATCTTCTTTCTGGTTTTAAACGAGCAAAACATTAGTAGCATGACAGTAAGGAAAAGAGTCTAAAAGGCTGTAAAACATACTTCATTTGCATCCAGTGAGGAAGCCCTCTTTTTCAGCATACCTCAGAAGGAAAAATTATGAAATATACTGAGTTAGCAGGGACCTGCAAAGATCATCAAGTCCAACTCCTGGCCCTGCACAGGACAGTCCCAACAATCACACCACGTGCCTGACAGCACTGACACACATCAATCACAGAACCACTGATGAATGAGAAAGGAGGAGAGGTTAAAAATTATATACTCCATGTTATGTCCTTCAGCTGTGTCATGGAGCTCACAGGCTGTGTTTCCCTTCTAGTGGAATCTTCTTGTCTTCACTTAGGTATAACTGTAACTGCTCACATGAGCAGGTAATTCCAGCCAAATGACTGATACCTAGCTCTTCTTAAACCTTTCCATATAGTAGCAGGAAAAATTAAGAAATTAGGAGAATGGGCACTGCATGAGGGTACCAAGCCTGCTGCCATCTCACCAGTATAATAATGCATGAACTTATATACTGAAAAGAGTGATATATATTTAAAAAGCACTATCTAACTTTATACATCTTTAAATATAAAATTATATTTTCTACTCAAGCAAATAATTTTGTCATTTTTTATTGACCTTATCTTAAAATTTAGTTTGGTGTTTCATCTACCATTTCAGGATTGTGATACCATGTGCAAAGTTTACTTTTACCCTGATCCAATTTTTCTAATTTTAGACAAGGTAACAAAACAGAAAGGATATTTTTTCCTTATGACAAATAAAAATAGACAAAAATACTGATCCAATCTTACAAAATCTGGCAAGGAGTATGACATCAAGTTTCTGTTTCCCTAGCTGATAAATCACAATTGTTTTAAGTCCTTGGCACATGATTAAAACAACAGCTGTGTTAAAGGGAAAAACTCCCACAATGTATTACTCACAACCATCTCAATATGGTCTCTCCAGAGACAAAAAGCATTTTCAGAGAGAGTTATAGGCATGTCATGGCCATCTTATTCCCACAGACTTTGAATGAAACTCT